TATGCAGATATATATATATATATATATATATATATATATATATATATATATATATATATATATATATATATGCGCTCATGCAAATATATAAAAAATCAACTGACAATCAACTACCATTCCTATCCTAGACGTACTAATACAAAATGTGTTAAATGAATTTAAAACCTCAGTATACACCAAAGGAACAAACAACGGTTTATGCCAATTTGAACACCGATGATGGTATAGGAATACCGAAAAAAGCTGAAATGAAATAAAATGTATAAAATGCACAAAAATTTTGGCTTTGAACTCAAGAAACTTAAAAATGATCACAATCAACCATTAGAAAAATCGAAAAGTTAAATTGGAATTTAACTAACGCCGAACATGCTGTGATTTTCATCAATAATTGCCTCCTATATTATATATATATATATATATATATATATATATATATATATATATATATATATATATATATATATATATATATATATATATATATATATATATATATATATATATATATATATATATATATATATATATATATATATATATATATATATATATATATATATATATATATATATATATATATATATATATATATATATATATATATATATATATATATATATATATATATATATGTTGGTAATAGACCATAATTTTTACAATATTCTATAAATTCTACCGAATGTTTGGCGTTAATATGTTTGTAGTTCGTTTTTTCGATTTTTTCACTAAAGTTTTTTGGTGAACGTTTAGTTTATTAAAATTCAAAATAAACTTATTTTTCGAATTTATGCTGCAAATAAGGCCATATTTCGATTCCGAATGAATCATCGTCAGTGCTCCTTGTTGTATCCTCGAGGATTTCGACAGCAACACCAAAGTAATATACCAGAACAGCAACTACACGCATCTTAAAATTGCAGAAGCAGTCCTAATCGACATCAATAAACCAAAAATAAATATACAACAAAAAATGACAACCTCACTTCCAACCCGGCGCTTAACCAACAACGAAAACAAAGAAGTAATAAAAACTAGCATCGTAAATAGTGACAAAGAAGAAAATGATGCTATCGATGAAGAAAAGGAGACCAAAGAAGATGACCAGCCAATTAAGAAACCTGACACCTAATTCGCATCAAAGTTCAATTTTACAACACCAAAGTTAATTTTTACAACGTCAAAGTTAATCTTGACAAAGTCAATATTTTCCTATATATACAACATGCTACTGAAACGTCAGATTTATCTATAGCCTTGAAAATCTCTCTAATTTTGATTTCGTCATGTGCTTTTTTATCTGTTAGATGTGAAGCAGATGACTCTGGTACTTCTTAGATAACAACTTTTTTTTCTCTCCTGCATCTCACCAATAGTGGTGTTGGCCACTACTAACTGGTCAACAGGCTTTTTTTCACACATTTTGCACCTCTAGTGACCACATCAACCCATTTAGTACTGATGAAAGGCTTTGCTACCTTTTTTGCCGATTCAAGGTCGGTCTTCAATCTTTTGATTTTTAATAAATTCTCACCTCTCGCTTTCAACTATTTCACTTGGTCGGTTAGCGAAGAAAGCAGTTGCGACATCTTTCCGCACCATTCATGCAATCTTTTGGCTGGTTTACTGGCTGTATTGCCCATCTTCGGCCAGTTCTCTTCTCTCAAAATGACGAGATCCATATCGGAAATCGAGAACAAAATTTAAAGATGAATTTGATCTGAACAAAACCCCGTGAGAATTCAGCTGATCAAAATCACGTGTCAAAACCCCGTGCCAACTAAACTTAAAAATAACTAAATTATTAACAAATTATCAATAATTCAGATATTTTAACCACAAATTATATATTTTTTGTAATCCTGAAATTAGAAGCAATCAGTACAGTCAATTTTACAACAAAAAATTAGTATTTTGAATAGAATTTTACAACAAATTTACTCACCAAAATTATAATCTATTATCGCTTGCGTACATGGAACGAACGATTAGTTGGAAAAAATAAAGAAGCGATTAGCTGGAAACATTAAAGAAAATTATGTATTCGAACATGTTTTCTTATGAAGCATTTTTAAAATTTTTTATATCAAATAATTTTAAAATGGCCAAACTTGCCGTTTTTTTAAAAGAGAATATGCTCAATCGTCGTCGAAACTTTTATGATTTGATAAATATGTTGTTTTTGAATAAGTAGCTGGTGACCGTTGCAAGAACATTTCTTTTTGGTTTCCAGATTATTTCATTTCATTGATTTTGTTTTTTTTCCTCAGTGTTAACTTTGGTTGATTTTCATATTATTTTGAATATTTTTTTAAGGTTTGAAGATGGAAGCATGGACGGTAAGTGTATAAAAATATTGTACTTTCAACATAATTTCTCTTAGAATTTGAGTTGGTTTTGATTTACTCCCATTATAGACATCAGCAAATATGACGAAGCAGACCATGATTTTCTTGTCACTCCCCACAGAAAAAATTCTCGAATTATAAAAAAAAATAATTTAACAAACCGATTTTTTGAAAACAACACCAGTCTGCTCAAAATTCCTCACGATGATTTGATAGTATCTCCTTGTTTAAATGCAAAAAGGAGAAAAATGTCAGATGATTTGAATGCGTATTTCACTGGTGAAAGTGGACCTATGAGATATAACCTGCGAAAGAAGATTAACATTAATGGTGGGACTTTAAAAAACATCAATAATGTTCGACCAAACAAATCCATTTTAAAAAAGGACAATAAATTTGATGAGAGACTTTCAATGGAATCTTCAAAAAAAATTCCAGCCAAACGAAAAAAAGTTTTGAGGTAAAACGATTTGTTTTTACTTTTTACAAAAATTTAAATACGTGATCTGAATTATTTGATTATTACGATGGTGCTCAAGCTTACTTAATCCTTATAATTCATTCACATTAT